ATCTCCTGATCACCAACAAAATGAAATTCAATATAAATAATGCTACTATTAATAATAATCAGAATAGAGCTGGAAGGTACTTTGGAGGTCTTGTAGTCCAACTCCTTGCTCAAGCAGGAGGCCCTATACCAGGGGTCAGCATCCTGTGGCTCTGGAGCCGCATGTGGCTCTTTGACCCCTCTGCTGCAGCTCCCTGTCACTCAAAATATGCGTCACAACCGCCAACGTGCGAAACCCGCCAGCATGCAATTATTGAGCTTTTCAACCCCCGGTAGGCCAACCATGGATAAATCCAAGAAAAGAAAAATTTCAGAAGGAAACAGAACGTTTAATTCAACTACATAGGCTAGTTTTGTGGCCGCTCAAGAGATAGTCAGGCACGGGAAGGATTTTGTGGTTCCCGGTGTTTTCTTTTCTTTTCTTTTTTTTATTAAGGTTTTATAAATTAAACAAAAACACAAAACAAAAATACATACAAACATGAAGACAATACAAAAGAAAAAACAGACCAACACTAACTCAGTCCACTGACTGACTTCTGAAAGCTGTTGCATCGGTGGTTGTTTTCTATTTCGTCTATTTTTATCTATACATATCTATTTTAGATGTTTACTTATTTAGACATTTATACATATCCAAGGTTTCTTTTTTATGAAAATATCAACTACATTTATATAACTTTCTAGACATCCTTCTAGGTATTTATCTACACCATCATTCTATCTTGCCTCTTACATGATTGGTCTGTGTTTCTTGGTTAGATTGACAAAATGTATTATTTGTTGGTCCTATCTTTCCCTCTAACCAGGAGTACCACCTTTGCCAGACTAAATAGTAGTCGGTATCGTCTTTCTCTTGCAATTCTTTTGTAAGTCTGTCCATTTCTGCACATTCTGTTATTTTCGCAATTATTTTTTCTTCTGTTGGTAGAAGTTCGGATTTCCAGTTTTGAGCATACGCTATATGTGCCGCTGTTAAGATGTGAATAATAAGATACTTTATCTCTTTGTTATATGGGAAATGGGTTCAAATGGCTCTTTGAGTGTTTAAGGTTGCAGACCCCTGCCCTATACAATTTCAGACAAGTGGCTGTCCAGTCTCTTCTTAAAAACCTCCAGTGATGAAAAGTAAGATTTTGATAAAAGTAAGGCCAGAAAAACAAACTGTATAGGTACAGACCAGGTGAAACCTGGCTTAATGCCAATAACTGTGAGAGGGATCTTAGATTCCTAGTGGACAATCACTTAAATATGAGTCAGAAGTGTGTGGCAGCAGCCAAAAAAGCCAATGCAATCCTAGGTTGCATAAACAGAGAGAGAGAGAGAATCAAGATAACATGAAGTATTAGTGCTGCTTTACAAAGCCTTAGTAAGACCACACTTGGAATACTTGCATCCAGTTCGGGTCAACACAATATAAAAAAGATGTTGAGACTCTGGGAAGAGTGCAAAGAAGAGCAACAAAAATTATTAGGGGGCTGGAGGCTAAACATATGAAGAATGGTGGCAGGAATTGGGTATGTCTAGTCTAATGAAAAGAAGGACTAGGGGAGACATGATAGCAGTCTTCCAATATTTGAGGGGCTTCTCCAAAGGCAAGGGGGTCAGATTATTTTCTAATGCTCTAACAAGGAAGACAAGAAACAATGGATGGAAATTAGCCAAATAGAGAAGCAATCTAGAACAAAGGAGAACATTTCTAACAGAGCAATCAACCAGTGGAACAGCTTGCCTCCAGAAGTTATGGGTGCTCCATCAATGGAGGCTTTTAAGAAGAGACTGGACAGCCATTTGTCTGAAATAGTATAGGGTCTCCTGCTTGATAAAATGGTTGGACTAGAAGACCTCCAAGGTTCCTTCCAACTCTATTGTTCTATGTTCTAATTCCATTTCAACATTCCCCCTCTTGGAATGCCACCAGGGTTTGTGTAGATCAGAGGTCTTCAAACTTGGCTGCTTTAAGACTTGTGGACTTCAACTCGGGAGTTGAAGTCCACAAGTCTTAAAGCAGCCAAGTTTGAAGACCTCTGGTGTAGATCTTCTGAAAGGTGAGTTTTTATGTGTTGATAAGTAGCTGAGGGGTAGTGTGCATGGACCAGCAGCCCTTCCAGTTCTAATCTTAAATTTTAAATGATGCTTAACTGGTCGATTCGCCAGTTGAGGATGATGGCTAGACACAAATTTCCCCAGTGCTGTAAAATAACAGTTTGGGGATTTTAAATGTAAGATTATGAACAGTTTCCTGAAATTTTCCTTGGGCATCTCATTTAACTTTGCAGCATCTGGCCTAACACCAGGGCTGTTTGCTAGATGTCTGGCAGTTCCTCCCACATGCCTAATTGAGCTCTGCAACTCCAGACGATGAGGGTGCAGGATAAGATGGTTTTCTGGGTACCACTCTTAGAGGTTCCCTGATTTACTGAGATGAAGCAGTTGAAGCAACACCTTGGACGCCAGTGGTTTCAGGATTCAAGAGTGAACATGATGGAATCCTATGGCCTCACCCTCCGACGTAAATTGTGGTGACAAGAGCTGCAAAACACCATCACTTTCCATGTTGTATCAATAGAATATTGTTCAGCAACCAGCTAAACCATAACCAGCTGGACCAGAAGAGTTTTTGTCCACTTCAGAGTAGGAAGTTCTAGATTAGACTGTTACAATGCGCTTTCCTTGGTGTTGCTGTTAAAGACTACATGAAAACTGCAGTTTAACCAAAAATCCAGTCTGCCTGGTGCTCCCTAAGAGCCACCTTACCCAGATAACCCCAGTCTTCTGGATCTTCCATTGGTTACAGGTAGTCCTCACTTAGGACCATTTGTTCAAGGACCATTCATGCAGCAGTGCTTGTAATGGAATAGGTAATGGAATGTGTCTAAGAAGGGGAAGTGATGTGACACACTACAGTAACACAGCAGGTTCTCCAGGGAGAATGGAGCACCTTCCAAAGACGGGGTGAGACAACAAACAGCACACTCTGGAGTTGAATCATGGGAAGAGGAAGAGATTTAGGACAGCCACTCTCTAGAATCTATCAGGGTTCATCCATTAGATTATAGTAGGGTAGGTTAGTCTGGCACGATTCTCTCTTTATGGTGTTAGCAAGTAAACAAGTGAACTTTGGCTGGATTGTGTGATGTTGTTCTTGGGCTAGACCCAGTGGTGGGATTCAGCCAGTTCGCACCACTTCGGGAGAACCAGTTGTTAACTTTCTGAGCAGTTTGGCAAACTGGTTGTTGGAAGAAATCATTAGGATAGAGAACCGGTTGTTAAATTACTTGAATCCCACCACTAGCTAGACTTGACAGAATACGAGAACAACCTTGGAAGAGGGAGGTAGAGATATTGCCTAAGCAATGAGCAGATAAAAGGGAGAGGAGCCTGCAACTAAGTAACAGGCAGAGAAAGAAACCTTAGAAAAGATCCATCCAAACTATTCAGATGGTAAAAAGTGACAGTGGGAGATTCGTACTTTCAGACTTGCAAGATTCAGTTAACATAGCCTATAATAAAGGAGAATTACAGATAGTCCTCAACTTCACAACCATAATAGAGCCAAAAATTTCCATCATATGTCAAGACAGTCAAAAGTCTGGACCAGATTTTATGACTTTTTAATGGCAGCGTTTCAGTGAATGGCACAGTCATTAAGCAAATCAATGTACTCCTAGAGGCATTTTTTTTTTGCCAAAAACTGGAGCCATCTTTAATTGGAGTCTTCAGGGCTGCCACAGCAGTGGATGGGCAAGCTGTAGGAACAGGACGGGGGTGGAGACAGTGTGAGCTGTGTAGTCATAACAACATTTTTCCCTTGGGAGTCAAGGATGTTCAGCCAGCACCTGGGGAGGTGTGATTGGAAGTCAACTACAGTTGGGACAGTGACCTGATTGGACCAGGTGATGAACATGTGGATGCAGGGGAAGGAACTTGATTTTATTTTGGGTGGGAAAACCCAGGGGGATTTCAGATTTGGGTTTTCCCAGATGTGCCAATATGACATCTCTAATAAATTCAAACTTTGAGGAAAATGCCTGCCTTGGAGTTTTGATTCTTTTGGAGAACCCTGACATGCAGTTGTGTGATTGCCGAAAGCTGCAAGCCAGTTGCCAAGTGCCTGAAATGCAGTCGTGTGTGTGCATGTGGGGGGCAGCACTGGTGGCCCTGGGACTGACGGAAAGGCTCAGGGGCAGCAGCAGCCAGCTGAGACTGCTGAAGGTACCAAGCCCCTATTCAGCCCCAGTGCTCCTGGCACCACCATTGCCACCGACGAGTGCCACCTCGAGCCTCGCACCATAGCCAGCTACCCTGACACCACAGCACAAAGCTCCTACCATGTCCACCTGTCCGGCTGACTTTCACCATCTTCTTCTTCCCACTGCTGGCCCTATGCGCCTGGCCTGGCCTGGCCTTGTGTGAGGCAGCTGCTTCTTCCCAAGGCCCTGTGCACACATCTCCAAATCATGTGCTGCCTTCTTACGATGCTTCTGAGTCCTTCACAAAGCTTGTGAGGAGGTCCTCTCCAACTCACACACGGCAATCTCCAGTGCTCCAAGGCTTCCAAAGGAGACCTGCTGCTGTGGGATTCAGTGAATGACAGCAATGGGGATTACCTTGATTTCTGTCACTAAGTGATGTGGTCATGAGATGTTGTGTTTTATGGTCACATTGTTTAGTGACAGAAATTCTGGTCCCAATTAATGTCGTTACCCAGGCACGACCTGTATTAGAAGTTTCAGTGTACAATTGAAAATGCTGGTTTTGACTCTTTCAAACGCATCTCTTTTGAACTGAATTTGCCCTCCTCTCAGTCTGTCCCAGAAAAGCTGTTTGGGCTCCCTCTGAGAGATGAGAGAGGAAGAGAGGAAGAGGGAGAGAAAGGGTCAGATAGCAGGATTATGTTGTAGAAAATAAGCAATTTAGAGGTTGAGGATGATAGTTATTAACCTGGTTCTCTCATTCTGAAAGATGGCAGGTGAACCATGTTCTCTTCCTTTTCCCAAGCTCATGACCAAGCATCCAGCTAAGCGGTTGGGGTGCGGCCCGGAAGGAGAACGAGATATCAAGGAGCATGCCTTTTTCCGATATATTGATTGGGACAAACTCGAGCAGAAAGAAATCCAGCCTCCCTTCAAGCCCAAAGCTGTAAGTTCCTTTCCTTTCTTTCTCCGTTCTCTTTTATAGCCCCGGAGCAGTAGGCCTCTTTCTGGACGCTCGTAATAAGATATTTTCTTTCTCAGACAAGGGATACGATGTTCAGGATTAAGAACTAATTTGGAGGAATGTAGGGTTTACGCATGACAATTCCATTATGCAATTCCCTTGCTTCCTTGAAAGAACTACATGGCAATTCAAAATTATTGTTTTTAGTTGTAATTTTCCTGGGTTATGTTGTTTATAATCAGTTTGTGCAATCTTCTTGCACGGGCTATAATCTACTGTTTCTTCTGCCTCTTTCCACAATCTGTACTTTGAATCATTTGATGATTTTTCTGTTCTAACCTTCATTTGAATAGCTTGCTCTCGAGCAGCCAAAATCAAGCCTTTGTTTTCTTATTTTAATGTTCTAGTGGTAAGCCATTCCCAGATTTTATCTTTATCCCCTTTCCCCTTAATCTTTTGAGAAATATTTAAACTTAATAATTTAAACTGACTCTCAAGAACTCTGGGGGGCTAATACTCACTCACCCACCTTCCTAGTTCACAGAGCAAAGAAAGTGATGGGGTTTCATCAGTGGTGAAATTCAAATTTTTTTACTACCGGTTCTGTGGGCGTGGCTTGGTGGGCGTGATGTGGCTTGGTGGGCATGGCAGGGGAAGGATATTGCAAAATCCCCATTCCCACCCCACTCTGGGGCCAGTCAGAGGTGGTATTTGCTACTTCTCCAAACTACTCAAAATTTCCGGTCCTCCAGAACCTGTCAGAACCTGCTGGATTTCACCCCTGGCTTTCATGCAAGTCTGAATATTTGTTCCCTATGACCTTCCTCCCACATGAACAGTGCACTGTGATACTCTGGGAACCAGAAGGCACAGCAAACAGATCCTCATGCAGTAGCAGCAGCAGAATGTTTTCCTTGGCTCTCAGATAGATGACCTTTAGAGATTCATCTTCCCCTTTTTCTTGAATAGTATCAGAGGGGCCAATTATACATTCCTTCTTCCCAGACAAGGAATTTTTATGGTTGCATCATCGCGACTGCCCAGCTGGACCTTATTTAAGAGGTCCTTATCTAAGGACCTTACTTGGCAAATCTGCTGCTTTGCCAAAATTTTAATTACCAAATCAGCCAGTCTGGTGCATCTCCTTATCTCCTTATCTCCTTTGGTATCCTTGGATTAGATTGCTGATTTAACACATGCCAAAGTCCTGGATATTCTACTAGTTTTCATTGACCTTTTAATGAAGATGGTTCATCTCATCTCTTGTAGGAGCCTCCCTTCCATAGCAGAAATCACTCAGTTGTCCCACTGTTAGGTTTTCTGACCTGAAAGCATCCCAAACAATCTCATTACCAACAGAGATTCAACTCTGAGTTTGGAGAACTCTTTTTTTTTTATAATTAAACTTTATTATTAAAAAAAAACCATTTAAAAAACATGCAAGTTTCTCTCAAATGAGAAACAAATTTACATATACAGTACATAAACTTCACCTATTGACTAATTTCCATTATTCTATATACATATATTATGTGTATTATATGTACATATATACAAACATACAGTAAGATATTCCATATTCTATCCCTCTGACAGTGCTGTTTTTTGTTATATTAATTTCTTCTAAATTTCATCTCTACCCATTTCCTTTCCTCTAGTTTATCCATTGGTACCATCTATTCCATGTTACATAATATTTAGATAAATATTTAATATTTACCCTTTGCTTTTCATTTTAACGCTAGAAAATTTATTAATTAGAATTAGGGCAAACAAAGAGATACAAGGACTAAAGATCAAGAGAGAGGAGTACAAGGTCTAAGCTTTTGCGGACGACCTTGTCTTCTTTATAGAAGACCCAATAGAAACAACCCCCAAGTTAATAAAAGAAATTGAAAAATTTGGAAGAGTAGCAGGCCTGAAAATCAACAAAGAAAAAACAAATATGATAACAAAAAATATGACAACAAAGCAAGTAGAGCAATTAGTAAATGACTCACAACTACAGGCAGTTAAAAAAGTGAAGTATCTAGTGATTCATTTGACGGCTAGAACAGCAACAATAAAACAGGACAATTATGAACCCTTGGTCCAGAAAATCAAAGTAGACTTAGATAAATGGGGGAAACTAAGGTTGTCCCTGCTGGGGAGGATAGAGTTTGGAGAACTCTTTATCAACTTCTGAATGTTATTGTCCCTTAGCACATCAACCATAAGCCAATGGTAAACCAGAGAAGATAAATACTACCCCAAGCAATGCCTTTGCGATTATATGAACTGCTAAGGTTTGAGATGACTGCTGCCTGCAGCCTCCTCCTATTTCCCTGGGATGAGAAGCAAGGAATTCCTTTTCCTTTAGGACACAGTTCCCAACACTTGCAGCTTGGTGGGGAGCGGAAGAGAGGAACTGGGCCAGGGTGCATACATGCATGCACAGCTCCACTCACTCAAGAGAGAAGAGAAATCTTTGGGGTAGAGTTTCACGCTCCTTCAGGTTTCCCCATGCCAAAAGCTTTTGCAAAGAGATGAAAGGCCTGAAACAGTGTGAGATCATTCCCCTGAACCCTTTCATCCATCGGCGTGGAGAAGAGGAGCCTTTGGGGGTGTGGCCTTGTGCTCCTTCAGACTTACCGAGGCTGCCCAACACTTCAAAAGCAGATCAGGTGTCCTGCACAGGCAGCCTCGGTGACTCAGCAAAGCTGAGCAGGGTGTATTCATCCCATTCAGCCTCTACTCTCACTGGTCTGCTTTTGGACATTGAGAAAGGTGGCTTGGCAGCCCAACTGGTGGGGGGAGAGAGGAACTGGGCTGCACGAGTGGCAGCCTGTTGTGCACATGTGTGCGCACAGCTTCACTCGCACAAGAGAGAAGAGAAGCCTTTGGGACACTGCACAAGTGGAGCTGCACATGCATGTGCACATGCTTCGGCTCACCTCTCATGCGGCCTGGTTCCGAATAGGCCATGGCCCAGTAGTGAGCCACAGCCTGGGGACTGGGGATCCCTGCTGTAGGATGACTAGATGGGGAGAGAGAGAAGAGGAGAATTCTTCAGATTTGAGAGAAAACTCCTGGTTAGGAGAAAGGGAATGGAAAAGCACTAGGCTCTTCCAAGAAGGAAGACGTGGGGATAGACTTGGTGGAAAGTGGTAGAAAAACTATTTCTGATTAGGTCAGAAGCAAACAGCCTGTGAAGAAAACCATCCCTCTGATTGAGAGAATGGCTTCAAAGCTCTCACACTGTGGAGAAGGGAGAAAAACATGCAAAAATTAAACTATTGTAAATATCTTCCATCTCAAGTACAACAGTTACTGGAATTCTTTTTTTAACAACTTTGTAAGCTTTTTTTTTTTTTTTTTTTACAATCTACTGATTTGTGTTTGGAATTCCTATCTGTGCTTGCTTTCAGTAGAGAAACCTGAAATCTCTCCTTGAGCTCTCACTTTTTGAACTCGCCTGCCGACATTCTGTTAGTTCTCTCCCCTTTCCTTTTTTGCGGAGATATTGGAGTTTTTAAGTTCCTTCTACAGTCTTTGCAGCAGCTCTGCTTACTCAGCAGGAAGCAATAATTCAGTCAAACACAATGAGAAATCAGCCGCTATTCAGGACATGAGCTCTTTGTTGCACATGGACTCTCGGAATAGAAAGTTCTCCGGTGGCTCCCTTCTGTTTTTTTGTCTCTCCCTCCTAGTGAAAATTATTGGATGGATTGGGGGATGGAGGAGGCCAAAGGAGGAAAATGTGTTGTGAAGTTACAACACAAACTGTGTCCTTCTTGTGTCCAGCTCAGGACACAATTATGAATGACCAGGGTTTATATCATTATATTGCAATATACATTTTCATTTTAATCATCAAACCTATGATGATAAGCAAGCTAGGTAAGGTATGTTTCTGCTGCGTACCCTGGCTTTGCCTCATTGTGGAGCCAGATATGGCCAGGTCCTCTGCCAAAGGATACCTTCCAACGGGGGTGATATTCACTTACCTTCGCTACCGGTTCACGAATGTGAGCGCAGGTGCCACCTCCATGCATGCGCAGGACCTTCCGCTCATGCGCAGAACGTCAAAAACAGGACGTGATGACGTCTGGGCAGGTGGGCGGAGCCCACTGCTGCCGCCGCTACTGGTTTGACCAAACCGGATAGAACCGGCTGAATACCACCACTGCCCTCCAAGCTTCTCCATTTAGGGTTAACTTGAAGAGAAGTCCCAAATAGTCCAAGGAGAGCAACCTTGTCTAAATCCAACTGTGAGCTTTATACTATTGAAATGTATCCATATTACCTTTATTTTGGATTTAAGTTGTAGTTTGTTCAGTCCAAACTACTTTCATATATCAACCTAAAAGTCTTTCGACTTCCCTGGAAACTGTAGATAGAAAATAAGAGTTGAGCAGAGTATTGTCCATGCACTGATGAAATGTCCATCTAAGCTACCCAGTGAGTAGCCCAGTTGTTCACTTAAGGTGTACAGTGAGTAAGAGAGAACTTTGTAGCATCCCATAAAAAGGTGACCATGAGAAGGAAGAGGACTGTCCCTTCAGCACTTTCTAAGATGGATCTTCCATCATGACTCCAGAAAGAGGATCTAGAACAGGGGTGTCAAATTCCTGGCCCGTGGGCTGGATGCATCACACGCTGGCCACGCCCACCCCCAGTTTAGCAAAGGGGAGAAAAGTCGCGATACATCACGTGATGACAACGTGATGTCGCAAGTTTGACACCCGTGGTCTAGAAGGATTCTCTGATTGGTAGAATTAAAAATTCTTTCAAGCAAAACATAAGCCCATGAGTAGATGAATTCTAGCCAAGTCCATTTGTTAGGCTATGTTCTCCCAAAGGGAAGTTGCAAGAACCTTTTTCCAAGGTTCTCGTGTCCTGTCGCTCTGCAACATTCTCCATTCCTTACTCCCAATCTCCCTTTGACTTTTCCTCTTCCATATCCATCTCCTGCGTCTATTTCTACTCTGGATTCCCTTACT